AGAACTCCAGGCTTCCTGCCTATGTTTAATTATAGAGATATTAGAAAAGGAACGAAAGCAGAAGAATAACTAGGAGTGAAAATGGATCCCTGCCTTATTGAAAGCGAGGAGAAGAGCTAGGAATTCTTCAATAGACATTGAACGTGCACGCTTTTCAGCAAAGCCTGCCTCCACTAGTGTGTCTTCAACAAGTTTTTTGATATTGAAATCCTTTGGAATAGCCTGAAAGAAATCATAAATTACCATGGAAAAAATGTTATCTACCGGCATGACATGTATAGGGATTTGACCGAAAGCTGGAGTGCTTCAAAAAAGCGGGCCTCATTAGTCAGGAACATGTGATCAGGGAACAAATAAACGAACCTTGTTCATTAAACTGCACACCTTCTGGTGATTTTTCTCAATCAAATCTATTACGTTGTTCAGCTTGAATATAGAGAGCAACTTCTTATTTTTCCTGAGAAAACACAGTCGAAGCATTCCTTCCCATTCCTGAAATTACCAATATCCTACAGAGGCCAATTAAAAACAAATTCAGAACGTTATAACAGAAAAACGTACGTCAAAATTGATTGGAGGAGGTGGATTCTTAGGTGCAATACGAACCACCGCTGAGTCGACCTTAGGAGGAGGGCGGAATTCGGTCCTTTTGATCTTCATGAGGTGTTCAACCTAGAAAGCTATCAGTTGGAATAAAGCGTGTAGAAGTATGAAATCAGTAATCAACTTGACAGTGACTTGTAGAATATGTATAGTACAAACCTTTGCAAGAAGCTGTACATTCACAGATAACCGGCAATAATCTTTATCGCCTGGTTTTGCTATCAACCGATCTGCAAATTCTTTCTGGAACATCAACACCGCATATCTGAAATGTACACATTAAATAACTTTGCGTTGAAAAACAAAAGTGGGAAGAAGAAAATGGTAGCGGCGCAAATCTCGTGAAAAAAGTTCAATCGGTAATCGAATCCTTCAGCTGGGTTTTACTTGGCATTTTTAGCCAGATAACCAAGGAGAATTCCGCTCCAACTTAGAATACATAAAGTACCACACTATGGTTCTTGCTGCGCGCTAATACAGAAAGCGAGATCATGATCAGAGGTGAATCGGAGTTTTCGCCGCGACAGCGTTTCGACCTGCGAAAGCAAAGTCACTTTTTGTCCTAGCGACCCACGCCAAGCCACCCCACTCGATCTAAAGCTGTTCATTTTGAGGAATATTGAATGGGAGCAAACGAATGAAAAGCAAAAAAGGAAAAAAGCTGAGAAGTGTCACTTGAAGACAGGAAGTGGGTATTAGGTTGCGGTAAAATGAGAGCGAAGATTGATCAGAGGAGAGCTTCGAAAGAATGGCAAGAAAAAGGTAAAGAATAACGGCTAGAAATGCCAGCTCGAACAAACTTAATAAGTGTAAACTGCTTAATAGGATGTTGAGTAAAGAAGGCTAGAAGAGCTGGACCTAATTCTGGCATTATTTCTCATTCCAATTTGTGTAAATAACCGTGTTTATGACCCCTCCTGCGAAGCCACGACCCTCATATGCACAAAACTCAGAAAACTACTTCGAAGATTATCTTCAGGTAAAGCAAAATAGTTACTGATGCCCTGCCTTAGGAGGATGACGCTAGAGGCTGCTAAAGCTGATCGCATGGCCCATAATGTCGTGTGTGGTTTACTATGACAGGACGTGACTTTTTTTCGCTTTTCGCAGAGAAAACGCGAAAAAATCGCATTCTGTCTTAGTGAAGCACAGCCTATAAAGCTGGATTAAAGTCAGGGGTAAGAGAACGACTGGAAATCGACAACCTTGGGCGAAGCACAGCAATTGAGGTTGGGAACCAAGATTTTTTCAACAAAAAGAGACTCGGTCGTTCGCTAGCTGACGGCCATTGAGCTATTGAAAGCTTTCATTGTTGACCCGTTGAATTTTAGATCGAATTCTAATTCTACCAATGACTTTAAATACAGCCCACAAGCAACACATGCTATGTAAATTCCCTTATGAGATTGAGATTGAGATCTAATGTTACCATCAAAACAGAAGCAGGACAAAGCCAAAAAATTCTGAACCACCTATTGGAACCTTAGCAAACCATACCTTGGAAGTGGCCGTTGTAACAACAGCTTAAACGTAAAGGGAGATGAGATCTGATACGGTAGGTTCGCTACACACACATCAAAGAATGGCCATTCGGTTTTCATGACGTCACCATGACGTACTTCCAATTTACTTTGAAGAGGGCTAAAAAAGTCACGTGGATATTACATTTGCCTTTTAAGGGGATATAGGAAAAGAAATATTTGTGAACCTACGTTGCCATGACACGCTTCTTTAACTCTGCCACCATTCGCGGATCGATTTCGCAAGCGATTACTTTCTTTGCCACTTCAAGCATCTTCACTGTTAAGTTACCTGTACCGGGCCCAACTTCTAGCACAGTATCCGTCGATTTGAGAGCGGACTAAAACTGTAAAAATCGGAAAACAGCTAGAGGCCCTCAACCAAGTCAATACATGTTCCAAACAGCCATTTCAGGAGCGGCCTCAATGGTGAATAGCGAAAAGCTTTTTGAAAATGACCCCACAAAAAAGGTCTCCCACTTTCTAGGAAATCCCAAAACCTCACAAGCTTAGGCCAAGAAACGACTGATATTCCTTATCTGCAAGCAAATGGCAACGTTTACCATCTCGACAAGAACTACCCCTTACTCACTTGATATACAAAAAATCAAGGAAGTATGGTACAAACAAAGCTGTTACAAATTTCGGCATTATTCAGCTATTAACCCCAATATCTCAAAATTTTACTTTTCGTCGTAACATTGTCAACGTACCTTTTCAATGATTGAATTGACTATACCAGGATTCTTCAAGATATGTTGACCTTTCTCAGTGTTGAACGGAAGGGCTGGAACGAAGAAAATGTAACCAATTTGGGACTAATAAAATTAAATCGCATTGGAAATGACCTACACTGCGTATTAAGAGCCGATGACGGCTTCTTCGTTTTCTTCGCCTTCACCATGGTTCATGTGATGAACAAATATCGAAAACGCTTAGTAGAAAAAACGTAATTTCGTTGTCGGTATCGGAAAAAAACCGAACTAAAGACTCAAGCATCCAAAAACCTGAGAGAGCCGTAAAATCAGAGCAGCTCACTGCGATTGCACACGGCACAATGGATGTGTCGGGGCCAATCTGTGGTAACGGCGAAACGTTGTGGCGCGGCTGTGGTCTGATTAAGTGAGGGTCTATTGGGCCTTTAAATTCCAGTGGCCATGTGGAAAGGGGGCATACGAGGGAAAAAGTCGAAACCCCGATAATGAGAGTTATTTTGATGTGATATTTTTAATTTGTTACACCACTGTTAAACCCATGCTCTTGAAAAACCTCTTTTTTTTCAAATCGAGTGTTCTCCAAACCAACTAATATATATTTATTTTGCAAAGCGGCTTTCAAGAACTTACGAGCATTTCTTTTGGTTTGATGGGGTACCCCCAGGAGGCCCGTCGCGCGGCAAGAAGGCAGAGTCGGCGGACGAGTTGCAGCGCGTGGTGTGCGATGTAGGACGTGCAGTGGGACACTCTATTTAACTTGACGCGAAATCCCTATAGTACGCGCGCGACTCGTCCGCTGACTTTGCCTTCTTGCCGCGCGACGGGCCTCCTGGGGGTACCCCGTCGCTTTCAGCGTCCGCCCAACGTTGCAGTATGGACAATCTGTGTCGTATGGCAATCGATATTTGCTGTTCCTTTAGAGCCTTTTCTCTCTCCTCGGTTCTCAGCCTCTTATCTCCCTTCTGTCACTAAGACCTAATATACCGTGGTATTGAGTGCTAAAGCGTCTAATTCACCAGCAATGATAAGGGGGGTACCCCCCAGGAGGCCCGTCGCGCGGCAAGAAGGCAGAGTCGGCGGACGAGTTGCAGCGCGTGATGTGCGATGTAGGACGTGCAATGGGACACTATTTAACTTGACGCGAAATCCCTATAGTACGCGCGCGAACTCGTCCGCTGACTTTGCCTTCTTGCCGCGCGACGGGCCTCCTGGGGGGGGGGGGTACGCAAGCTGACGCCCGGATTAACCACAGGCGGCGGGCGGCGCGGCCGCCTCATTCTAGTGTGATTCTGTCACGCCTCAATTCACAGCGCACCATCTCTCCTATGATTAGACCTTTTCAGGTTATTCGCTCCACTGGCCTCATTCTGCGCTGTGCCTTCATGACACTTTGGAGCTCCACTCAACCACTGAGGAAGTGCACAAAAAAACTTGTAATCGACACCATCTCAGCAATTCAAGCATGAAAGGCAACAGTCACACGATATTCTCAAGCATCAGCAAGATGCCGTTCCACCAGCACTTCTAACTACCAGGCCATTTTTACTGATGAGACTCGCTGACCAGTTTGTTTCCCTGCTGTGAATAAATACTGTGCGCTTTAGCGAAAACTGACGAAACCAGTGATACTGAACTTGTTAGGTTGATTTTGGTGTTGTCGGGAAAGTTCCTTTTAAGGCCTATGTTCCATTATCTGAAGAATGTTTTTAGAGGGTGCTAACTCCCGATTGTTTGGAGATGGCCATTCAGAACATTTTCACGGAGAGTCGGATTCGTCTGAGGAAGCATCGGTTGCTACACGAAACAAATTCTTCCAAGGGATTCGACTAATACCCTACCCCTTGATCTTTACGGTAGTCAATACGAAAGGGTGATCGTTTGACGTTAATCGCTTCTAAAGCAACAGTCCCAGCGTGTGGTGGGCGTTAATGGAAACTGCCGCTCGATTTCCCACTCCAAACTGTTCAGCCCCTAGTCAAGAACGTAAGAAGTGTGACTGAACAAAAACTCACCTTGGAAAGGCGCTAGGGAGGGAGCTGAAGTGGGCGTGGTCGGAATCGGCCGAGGGGATTGCAGTCGTTTCCGACCACGCCCACCCTGCTGGGACTGTTGCTTTAAGGGCCGTACCTTGCAGCGTGAATAGCTTTCATTTGAGTATACCATTATAGGAGGTCTTGTGACTCGCTTTTGGAATATGATTTTTATTTGTCAGACATGGGCGCGCATACAAGGAACACAGACCAATGGTCCATCATTCCTGAGCATACTGAATACCAAAAAGGGTCAAAAAGCTGCGGTGCTCCACCTCTTTTGAAACCAGATTTTGGTAAAAATTCACTTATGTGGGTTACTTATGCGGGATGGCTTCGAGTCTAGAATATGGCGCCCATTTCTGAGCGCAGATACCTTATGCGTCGATGCAAGCACCAATCAAAAATGCAAATTGAAATCGAACCACGTACCAAACTTTCGTTCTCGTCTCGATTTTCAGCAAAAAGGAAGCGTCGTTCTGAGCCCCATGGTTGTATCCCTGTGTAATGCAAAACACCGTTCAAAAACGGGGCCTGATTTGAAAGACCTTTCTGCCTAAGAGCGTCTAAATGCGTCGTTTATTATATGACAATTCTTGCAGAGCAGGGGTATAGTTTCCTTTCCCTCTCAAGGAAGTTCGATATTAGTGACCGAATATGTGGAATGGAAGGCTTTATGGGTGTTGGCGAGGTACGATCTTTTGAAGGCCGCAAATTAAGCCGCCTTGCCAAACTGGTACCTTTTGGAGAGGAAAACGGTTCCGTAACATTCGCATGTTCCAAATTTTAGGCCGAATCCAGCTTTTATACAGCATAAAAGGTGCGGGAGAAAACGCTTAGCGGTGATTAGTCCTCTTTTGGGATGCGCCACGCGTTCCCTCTCCATTCGAAATCGCAATGGCATTTGAGTACGTTAGAACACACAATGATTTGTGGGACCAGCTGATAAACGCCTTAGTACGTTTGGCTTGCCAGCCCTCCCAGACAAGTGTAGATCTAAAATAAATGATAAAAGGCTTGATTCTTTCGGAGGGCGTACGAGCCGGGGTTTGATCCCTGAACCGTGCACGTGCAAGAAGGCGCCATTGCTACTGATCCGCTCTCGTTTTTCACACATAACCCCAGAACCCGATCGGTGTTGAATGCGAGTGATCCTGTCGCTCAGAACACGATTGGGAGGGTTTTCTTTATATGAAAGTTATTATGCCTTCATGCACTTGAACGAACATTGATAATTCACATCACAATGCTGTAGAACCGTATGCTTCAGGAACTCCTTTCCGTGGACATACCAGGAACTTATATTTCCCGGAATTCAAGTTTGGAGCAAGTTTAGTGAAGCCTGCCTACATGAAGAAGCTGCCAGTCATAAATCGTTGTGACGACTATGACCGGAATCTGGGTTATTGTCTTGCAGTAGCACAAGAAAGCGTACTTTTTGGCACATCAGACTGGGACCGGTCCGAAGCTCGTATCGCTATCATTTGCCCTGCATCCAACCATTCTATCTATCAGTCAAGTGTAAGAGCTGATATTTAAACTAGTTCTGTACAGGCTAGGAATTGTTGTGCGCTTAACGAGACCCAGGTGAGTTTATACTTTATGAAACTTAACGAATTCACTAATTGTCCTGTTTTGGGAAGAAATATGTATACGTCAGCAATAAATTATTTAGAGTTCATGGATATGTGGCTTGCTCGCCTTCGTCATTGCCGGCGTATTTGGGCCATCTACAGGTTGAGAAGATAGGATTTTATTATATTTCGTGATTCTTTTTTCATACACCCACGCTTCCCACACGGCAAAGCATAAAATCCCGATAGTTGGGACAACTGGCCCGCCCTCTTTTGTCACGAAAAACCTCTTCCCAGGGCTCAAAATCTCTTCCCACGAGCTTTTCGGTTGATGATACGAAATTTTTGATTGGCACTCTATGATGACGAGCAATGCTACTGCACTGTCTAGTAGTAATAGTAATGATATTTTCAAAGACTATTCCGTACGCCCATACTACATAAAAGCAAAGTTTGTACGCGGAACTCATGCAAAGAGAAGTGCTTACGTGGGCTCATTTAAGGCATCGTCTTTTTTGCATTCAGAGAGCCGCTAAGCATTATGTACTATAGTTTTGTGCTTTATATCATGCAAAATCCATTTTAAAAAGCGGGGCACGATTTGAAAGGCCGTTTTGTTTAGGTTAAAATCTTTGCCGTATTTGTATACCAATTACCCCTGCTACATGAAAAGAAGGAACCCAGGCATAGTATTTAATCCAACATTTTCCACTCGTTAGGATGCTGATTCCAGCCAGGATCCTGACAACTGGGAAATGTGGGTTCGTTGTGCCACGTCAGCGAGGTGGCTGGTATTTGTGATCATTGGAAGGGTGTCGTTTCCAGGGTTTAGAGGGAGGTCGTGGTAGTAGGAAGTTATGCTGAAAGAACGGTTTAGAATACACACGAAATTCATTTCAACAGCAGTGTTCCCGACCCTCTTCCACTCAGTTGCTTTGACGTCACTATCGTCAAGAACTTTTGGGTGGGGGGGAATTAGAGTCGGCCAGATTTTAGCAGACTTAAACTGCACTCGCGACACCGTCGACCATTTTAAGGGTCCGCATGGAAGGACTCGCCTTAACGAAGAGGGTTGCTAGATCATCGAAATTGTTACAACGGAGTCCATTGTTAGAATCCAGTCTAAGGCAAACTGTCGAATTGTTTTGCACATTTGTTTCAAGTGTCCCGTAGAGGAGATTGTCCGCATTAGTGAATCAATTCGATGACAGTGGACGACTATTCAACTAATTTGCCGGAGGCTATCATTACGTATGTGTTGAACCTCTCTTACGAAAAAGGGCGGGCGGCGGGGGGGGTGGGGGGGGGGGTGGGGGGGCTGTTGAGCAGTTAGGCATGTCAGTCCATAAGGAGCTAATTGACCATCCATTGAACTTTTGGCGCGTAGTGTTTATCTTTACAGCTGAAGCAAACTTCGCGGCGCACTCTCGTCTGCGCTCAAACATTTGTCTAAAGGTAAGCTTGATCTATTTGTTGCCTCCCTGAAAGGAGGAGGGGGAGTCCCTCAGTTGAGGGCTAAGACGAGGGAGTGGACTAAGACCATCGCTACGGTTCGTCGCGCCATCTACGTCCTCTAAACGCGTTCATCTCGGCTCTTATCGGTTGTACGCTAGTCGCATTCAAAATTCTATGGGAAGTTGAAACGCTCCCCTGGTATGATGCTGGGCACCCATGGCTTGGATTCTTGTATGCCTTGAACGATCCATGCTCATCCTCCATTTGATACGGTACTTGTGTCGATATGCTGACCTACTATGCAATCTCGACTCTAGCTTTTCCCGACCTCTGCGGCGACTCACATAAACTCCTATCTCTCCGTATGCTCTTACCTATGCCTTCTCCGCAGCACAGATCAGAGAAGTTCGTATTTTTTGTGTTCTTGACGACTTCTTTTCGTTTTTTCCCCACAGGCGGTCCACGTTGCATCCTTATCTTCACACTTCTTCTCAGATTTGAACTTGATCCTTATCCTTGCCTTTGAAAGCAGATGGAATTTCAAAGTGGGTCGCTCGTGAAATAAAATTAGATTCAAGGGTGCAGCGGTGAGGAAAAAAGTCGGCGGAAACGAGCTGAAACAATGAAAGAACAGCTCGTTTTTGTCCGCTGAACCTTGCGCTCGACGAGATTCTGCGATAGATGATGGAGCACGTCATCAACCTGAAGGCACAGCTGCCTTATCAAACTCCCTTGCTTCACATGGCACCCCTCCCCCTCCCCCACCCTCAGCCAATCATAGAGCGAGTCTGCCATCTGGAGGAGGAAGCATAAGGCGGTAACCCAACGGGTGAGGCTCTGCTGGGCTCCTACCGCAGCTGTAAGACCCAAATCTAACCTGCTCTTTTGTTTGTTGAACTGTTCTGAATTATGACTTTGTTTTTTGCTTTTAACTGCTGTTTTGGCCGCAGTTCGCCATGCGAATATTTCCAGCAAGATTGGTTATTGACAAAACTTTCGCCCAGCGGGACTAAAGACCCGCACTCTCGCGTCGGCGGTACTAGTACGCGTAGGGGCAGCATTTCACCCAACTCAGCTTGTTATGGTATACGTATCATAGCCTTAGTTTTGTTCACAACCCAGCATTCTTGTGAAACATTCGCAACGCGAACTGCGGCGTTAAAACAGCAGTTAACAAACAAAACAAGTCAAAATTCATTGCTAAAGCTTTCAGCCTCGCGGTCATTGCCGATATCGGCTAACCGGCTCAACACGTTAGACGTGTGAGTGCTGAAAGCTATGGTACGTATACCATGAAAAGCTGAGTTGGAATGAAATGGTGCCCCGGTAGCGTAACTGGTAGCGCACTTGCCCGGAAAGCGAGAGGTGCGGGTTCTAGTCCCGCCTGGGGCGAAAGTTTTGTTCACAACCCAGCATTCTTGTGAAACTGTTCTGTGTTTTAGAGGAAGGTACTCAGTTGTATAAATGGAGGTCGAATGGGATAACGACGTGATAGGATCCACGGACCTCCTGAGGGTGCGAACTGACGCGCATGGAAAAATTTGACCTCGGCGACCTATCATGCCTCAAAGCTGGCGGGTCCGGCGATCTCCGCCCACCGATCATCTGATCACTCGCCGTAGTTCAATACGTGGCGAGTGATTAGATAGCTGAGAGAGCGTAGTGTTGAAGAGGGCACAGCGATGAGAGTCGCATCAATGCTCGAATCAACGGGCAAGGAAGGTACCATTTCTCGGGTTCTGGGCCGTTTCTCATGGTTCTTCCTTCTTTCGTGTACCACTCACCATCCCTAGGTTAATTTGAAATGGGTTGCTTTTTCATCGTGAATTCGTCCTTTAAAGTTGGATATTCGATTTTGTATGCTCCCGTTTCCCAGGCAGGCGAGTCGTCGCTGGAGCTCAGAAGGAGAAGCTTCGCCGCTCAAGTAGCAGAACTAGCAACTTACAAACTGTGGGTATAATACTTTCGTAATCCTTAGCCAATTCATACTGGCCGAAATAATTCTAACTGCCTCAATCGCTATTCTTCGACAACCTTGAAAACTTGGTCTTGATCATTTGCAGGCACCATGAATTTGAACTTTTGTGGATTCTTCACGCATGTGAATTGGGATTTCGAGTCCTTATGGGCTAAACAGGGTACGAACCGACTACTTCCAGAATAAAGCATGAATTTATAATTTCGAGGGAGCTTAAGAACGTTATGTGTGTGTGAAGCCCTACCATGGTCGAACGAGTACGCACATTCTGCCAATGTTGGAACGCGACTCATTGTGTATCTATGGTTTTTGGCAAAAAGAATATAATATGTAATAATGAATAAGCGAGACAGTCATGCTACAGGGGGTGCATGAGGATTCTTGAAGAAAAGAAAATTTTGTTTTCAGAAAACATTACAAAGATGTTCATCGAAAATCGTTGGCGGAGTCCATGTGCCCGTTGCGTCGGATTTCGTGCAGATTTTCCAAATATCGGTCCATCACCGGAATGTAACCCTACACGCTATTTCCGATTCAGAGGCAGTGAATACACTATGGTTGGAGGGCGGGGCGGTTGTGCGGTTGGGATTGCATTGGCGGAAACCAACCCATACTGCGCGCTAGGTTCTGGTCACATGAGTCCAGCGATGAGTCGCCAAAATCGTCGCTCAGGCCTGATGTAGTTCGCTGTCATAGAATTGTGTTTTATGAATCATGAGTCTGGAAGCTATATATGCTTCCAGATGCAACAATGTGTTCCGTCCACACAGTGGAGCTGCCATGAGTGCTTTACAACGAATCATGCCTGCAGACTATGACGATGGTGAATCTGTGCAAATTCGTACTATTCTGCTTCTGAACATTCCAATTATTCCGTCGTTCAAGGTATTTCATCACTCAGAACTTCCGTTGATGGTGATCGTTTACCCGATCCATGTTTTGTGGCGCAGTCCCTATCCAGGTGAGCAGAAACATTACCGTTTTTATGTAATACTACTTACTGGATTCAGTCCTCACCTTCATGCTTTATGAGGCACCGGTAGTTCATTCACCATATCATCGTGATTAGGGAGAGACCAAGAAATGACTAGTGAAGGAGACGCAAGCGCGCACTGCCCTCCTTAGGCAACAAATGAGGGAGACACTTCCCTTTTTATCCCTGTCTAACCCTAGAATAGCTAATGGAGACAGGGTTGCGTGTCAGCAAGGGTACACGATACGATACCTTTGAAGGTTAAAGAAGGATTCCACGATAATGTCGTAGCCGAAGTCGAGAAACCTACCTAGTGGAAAGGCAGGCGGACCCTCTAAGGGTGTGGGTCGACTTGTGATTTGCAGCGAAGCATATGCCCATGGCGATCTAGCATTCCTGTCCCGCGCCGCTATCGACGCGGCACGCCCATCGCCTGCTAACTACTCGCCCACGAGATTTCTAGCCATTAGTAGGGAGAGCGTAAACGTTGATGAGGGCAACACCGATGAGATCCGAACTATTGCGGAAATCAACTGCATGGAGGATTCCCATCTCTAACGCTCAAAAACATTTCTCATGTTTTTATCTTTATCGCACCACCACTGAACCATTCTTGCCTACAATGGGCTGCCTTCCAGTCTAAACTTCACCTACAATCTACAGTAGCGGTCAAAAGCCGAAACCCGAAGTTCGCCGAAACGGTTTTCGTGCTTCTCTTTTTTTGCCAGAAAAAAATCAATGGTGGCCTCGAAAAAATTTCTTTAACATCCTGATTCTTTAAGACTTGAGGATATAAAAACACTAGAAAACATAGTATATCAATCTTTGGAGGGCGTTGCTCAAGCGAGAAAAAATAATGCACAAAAATCGTTTCGGCGAACACTTCTTGACGGCTACTGTAAGTCTCACAAGATGCCGACAGCGAAGTTTATGAGCCACGTGTTTGGAAAAAATTCCTGCAGCAACATAGCTATGTAAATCCATATCCGCCATCCGTATTGTTGTCTGATACCTACCCTTCCTTGTGACACAATTCTTGTATATACTGCGTATTTGATTGGAACGGTGCATAGCTAACAAGTAGGGGATAAAACAAAGCGGTGGGCACTCGCACCGTTGTCACGCCATTGTATGTGGATCAAGCTCCGTGAACGGTTGTGCTCGGGCAAGATTATGATCAGGATCCATTAGTGTATTTACAGGCTCAAATGGGACACAGAGGATCAGAAGTAACAATTAGCCATGTAAACTTCAGAAGCTCATTGAAATGACATGTGATCTTGAATGTAAATTGGATACTTGGCGCATTCTAGATTCAGGGGGTCTTTAGCATAGTCAGCAGCTTCATTATTCATACTATCTTGCACTCTAATGAAGTTGTAAATCAAGTAGTGATCCAAATACAGACAATCTTATGTAAAATTCGAAGTTCTGCTGCGATCCACATTTGGTCTACTCACTGGATCTCTAATTTCATGCTTATCACAAGCTCTTTTTTAGCAGCGATCTTATTACTTTTATTTGTATTTGATT